CCAAAGCCACAGGGAAACCCTGTCTTGAAAAAACAAACAAAAAAAATCACTGGGTTTTTTGTTTATTTGTTTTCTGAGACAGGGTTTCTCTGTGTAGCCCTGGCTGTCCTGGAACTCACAGATCTGCCTTTAATCAGTCCCTGGCCCACCAGCCAGCCACTGTCTGATGTGTGAAGAAAGTAACTTTTCCTGAAATAGGCGCTGCTTCTGCGTCCTTTGACCTTTGTATGTCTGAGGTATCTGTTGCAGAAGTTAACCAGGGAGTTTGTGTTTCTACACTCTACCTTTTTACAATATCTCCTGCCAGATTTGAAGGGAACAGTTCTTTTTTAAAAAAAAAATCCCATCCATTATATTGTCTGACCTTTACAAACATCCCCAGCTAAACTCAAAGTCCCACACTGGTGTTTAATCAGGAAATGAATGTCAGTCAGCACCTTAGAACCCCGCTCCCCTCCCCGCAAGGATGCAGTTGTTCTGAGTTCATTCCATGGACAACATCTGCAGCCTCTCCCTGAGTAAATGTGTAACACTAGCCTTTGGAGAGGCCCTAGGAAGGATTTTTACCTCCGTTCCTTGGGAATTTACAGGAAGGGGCTGTCTCTGAACGCTCAGGAAATCAATGTTGCCACTCAGAGACCTAATTAGAATTGAAAAAAAGAGTTTCCATTGCACTAAATGAAATTTATCCAAGAGAATCTCAGAGTATGGAAACAGCTGAAAGATGATTCTTAAACAAAGACCCAGGGCTGGAGAAATAGATGGCTTACTGTTTAAGACCACTTGCTGCTCTTGCAGAGGACCCTGCTGCAATTCCCAGCCAGGGGTTCTAGCTGATGCCCTCTGTGGGTACCAGGTACTAATATGATATACAGATATGCACCATCAGGCAAAACACTGACACACATAAAATTAAAAATAAATAAAACTAAAAGAAATAAAAAATACAAAAATAAACCTTCAAATGAAAACAGCAAAGACCCACCAGGCAGTAGTGGCCCACGCCTTTAATTCCAACACTTAGGAGGCAGAGGCAGGTGGAGCTCAAGGCTAGCCTGATCTACAGAGCAAGTTCTAGAACAGTCAGGGTTACACAGAGAACCCTATGTCAAACAAACAAACAAACAAACAAACAAAAACACCGAAGACCCAAAACCTAGTGTCAAATAACTGAGTACTTTCATTGACAGTCTACTTAAAATTGCCCCAAACAGTGAACTTCTCAGAAGCCTTCTTTTTTTCTATTTCCAGGTGTTATAGAGTCATTACAGAGGAGCTGAGCCAGGACTGTTCAACAGAACTTTCTGCAGTAATGGACCTGTTGTCTACCTATGCCATGTAACACAGTACCCAATAGGCACAGTGGCTGAGAACTTGGCATAGATACACCCTGAGGAACTGACTTTTATGTTGTATCTAAACATAAATAACCACAGGTGGCAATTGTAGTGGCCATGGCAGGTCTATGCGGTAATTATGGCTTGCATCTTAGGTGACATACTGCGTTTTAATTTTTAGGTTTTTTTTTTTTTTTTAACACCAGAGGAGAATCGGGGTTATATCTGGCTTTGTTTTTCACAATTTTGAGTAATGCCTTTTCTTTCTCCTCAGTATTAGCAGGGCCATAAGAAACTGGTTATAATGTCCCTGAAGGCTCTACTGGCAATTTTTGAAATAACTTTTAATATTTAGACTAATACTTTGGGAAAGTTTTTGATAGTTTTAATAGAGCTGGTTGGTTTGGGGATTGAACCTAGGGCCTCTGACATGCTCGCACAAGCATTCAGAAACACCTTCATTCTAGTACAATTATTTGCTTTTATAGTTTTGGTTTATTTATTTTGTGTATATGAGTGTTTTGGCTGCATGTGTATATGTGTGTGCACCATATTTGTGCCTGGTGACAACAGAGGCTAGAAGGGGACCTCAATCGCCTAGAACTGGAGCTTCACACAGTTGTGAGTCACCACATGGGTGCAGGGAGTCACCACATGGGTGCAGGGAATCAAGCCCAAATCCTCTGTAAGAGCAGCAAGTGCTCTTAACCGCTGAGTCATTCTCCAACACTGTGGTATAATTGTTCTGAAAATATCTATATTTCAAGAATTGAGCACTATAAATCAATCCCATCGCAAAGGAAGTATTCTTCTGGGTAACCTCTTAAGGACAATGATGTTCCAGAGCCCTTTATTTATCCTCCTGAGCTCCCCAGTGGTTGTGATTGAACTCAAGGCCTTGTACACCCTAAGCAAACACTCTCCGATGAGCTAAGTGCTGCTTATCTTTACTTGTATGCTTCCAAATGTGGGTCAGAGTACTCAGAAAATGAAGCAAAAAATAACAATGGGGAAGGTATTTAAATTAAATAGGAGGGTACAGGGTTGAGGCTGTCACTGGCCTTTGAGTTCCTGCACAGTGAACTTCAGCCTAATCTAGTATGGAAACTGCAAGCATAACTGGCAAGTATAAGAAATAGCCAAACCGCCGGGCGTTGGTGGCACACGCCTTTAATCCCAGCACTTGGGAGGCAAAGGCAGGTGGATCTCTGTGAGTTCGAGACCAGCGTGGTCTACAAGCGCTAGTTCCAGGACAGTCTCCAAAGCCATAGAGAAACCCTGTCTCGAAAAACCAAAAAAAAGAAAAAGAAATAGCCAAACCTCAACCAATCACAGTATTCCAAGTAAACAGACTGTATACACAAAGTCCCATTTGGAGCCGCATCCAGCCAACCCATCCTTCCCACGCTATTGCCCCGAGAATGCAGTGTGCGTATTTTGTCTGATTCTGGGCACTACGTAATTCACTAATAAGTCTTTGCTCAAACAGATTCTATTAAAATTAAGCTATCTAAAGCAATTATTCTTTTCTTTTTTTAACAAGCAAAAGAGTGACAAAGAGTCTTTGTAAACCAAACTCAAGTCAGGCTCCTAAAACTTCTCCTAGGCCTTATGCATGCACATCTTGGTAACTCTGCTATAGGAGAGTCCTGATACTTGAACTGACCCAGAGCTTCTCACCCAAGATATCCAATCCCCTCAGTGTTTGCTTCAGTTTCTCATTTGGCACTACCCACCTCTACCTGCAACCCCATACTGTCGGATCTTCAGCAAAAATCCTATTGGGTTACATCCTAGTTTGGTTTCTGTTGCTGTGATGACCACAATGACTCTGGCCAGCTTGAGCATGTGGAGTATGGCTCTGGCAGGCCTTACCCTTCTTACCCTTACATTCCCAAGCTGACCACCAAGGTCTAGTCCCTTATTTGGTTACTTCCTTCTCCTGAGAGTGACTACCAAGTAAGGTCCGGCTATCAATGTATTGATGTCCAGAAATCAAAAGCCCCCTTGGCTCACCTAATTAACACACCCAATTAAAATGAACACCTCATCCTAACACGGGATGTCCCCCCTTTACCTTTATAAAGTGTCATTTTTCCACATGCTACGTCTGTCTCCTCTCTATCCTGAGTCAGTCCTTTGTCCCTCCAGGACAAATACCCCTGCTCCATTTCCCTTGTTCCCTTCCCCTTCTCCTTGTCCTCTATCTCTTGTCTTTGTCTCTCTTCCCTATCCTCTGTCCCTCTGGGGCAAATAAATCTCCTCTGTGTTGAGAACTTGGTCTTGGGGATCCTAAGCCCACACCGATACTTTTCCTTTCAATGGCCAAATACAACTTGGGGAGGAAAGGATTTATTTCTTCTTACAGTGCAGTCCATGGTTGAAGGAAATCAGGACAGGAACTTGAAGCAGAAACCATGGAGAAATGCTGCTTACCCACTTGCTCCCAGGTACACATCAACTACCTTTCATATACAGCCCAGGCCTAAGAATAACACTACCTTCCCACAGTGGGCTGAGCACTCCTATGTCAATTAGAAATCGAGAAAATGTAATCATACCCTGATATTAGCATAGTCCAAAACATAAAAAGAATCAGGTGTCCCCTCTCCTGATCAGCGGGAGTCCCTTGTCCTCTCTGTGAGGTAAAATCTATTAGATTCATCACAGAATCACCCTGCTTTCTGAATGTATCTAGTGCATACGACTGGGGAGTTTGCTTCCTTAAATCTTTCTCCCAAATTACTTTGGTTGCCAAAGGAGACTGCCACATTTTCTAGTTCAGTCACCACTGGTTTTAATGAATCCTTACAGGCAAGCAATATGCACAGGTGAATTCAGGTTGAGCGTGACTAATGAATGTTTACTACAGTCATTCATTCATCTGATTCATGCTACAAAGCAATGCTTGTTGGACTAATTACTGTTAAGTATGTCAGCAATTATGCCTTGTCTTTTGCTGCCGTTTATTGATTAATTTAGAGATAGGGTCTTAATATGTAACCTTGGCTGGCCCTGAACTGGTGGAGATTCTCTTGTTTCTGACTCTGGAGTATGTGAACTAAAGGCAACCACGGTCAGCCGTTTTTATTTTATATTGATGGGTTTGATTCTTTTTTTCCTTTAAAAAAAAACATATATACGGGCGACTACCTTGAGCCATTTGTACTTTATTGTTCTGTTGGCGGTTTTTTATTTTTATTTATTTAGGGAGGCGAGTATCGCGTCCAGCCTTTTAAGAAGGTTTGACCCAGGCTGGCTCCGAACACGGGATTCTCCTGTTCTGTTCTCCTGTTCTTTATTCTTCAGCGTTTGCCTACCAGCAGCCATCATAACGGCCCGCCTGTTTTTGTTTTGTTCGTTGACAGAAAATAGAGTAAGTTGGAGGTCATGGAAACAAATTTTGTCCCTGAAAAACAGGCAGCCAGGTTAGTTTCGCTTCAGGCCTCAGCTCCTCCATCAGGGACCCGCTAGGAGCCTGCCCTTCAGGTCGCTCAGCGCATGCGCCATTTCCCTGGCACGTCAGCGTCGGGACCCACGCCCGCGTTCTCTCGCCTGAATGTTTAGGACCGGTGGGGGTTTCGTCATCCTGCCCAGAGAACCGGAAGTTCCCTTAAGAGGCGGCCTCCCGGCGCTAGGGCGGTGCCTGCGCTTCCGGAGATGCTGAGGACTTTAGGGCGGAGACCGCACTTGTTGGAGCGGGGCGTTCGCCTTTTCCGTTAGCTCGGCCCCCCGCTGAAGGGCTAACTCCGG